GATTTAGCTCAGATTTGTTTTCTTTGTTGGAGTTCATACTAAGCTTCCCCAAATTTGGCTCCCTTCCATTTTGAGTTTTCTTTGGGGGAATTATTTCTATTAAAACCCATTTTTCCAGGTCAGTGTTTACAGTTGCCAACAAGATTCTTCTGTCAGTTTTCATTTCCTTATCAAGTTTACCGCGTGCAGTTTGGGCCACGATTACTGTATGGTGATCATTTCCACCAACAATCACATACATAAACTATTACCAGATTATATTTGTTTCTTAGCTAATCCATGAAGAAAATTGAGAGCAATTCCTGGCAGAAGGGCCCGCACTGCTCAACCCTGGTGCACACTGGCCTCCCCTGGGCAGTTTCAAGAAGTGCTCACGCCTGCCTCCTCCTCCAGTTCATCCTCTGAGCCCAGACACGGATATGTCACAGCCTCCAGGTCATTCTCACATGCAGGCAGGATTGCAACACTGGTCTAAAAACCTAGACCCGCACTGTCCAACACACAGCCACCACACACATTAGCTACTTATATTTCAATTAAATAAAATTTAAGATTCCGTTCCTCCGTTACACAAGCCAGCACAGTTCCATCATCTCAGAAAGTTCTACTGGGTAGCACTGGTCCGGAGTGGAGATGACGGGGTCTCAGCCCAGGCTGCACATAGAAATACCCAACACCTGGGAGTTTGTCATAATGGCGGTCCCGCCCCCAACCAATTAAATCCAAATCCCAGGGTGGGGCCAGACGGTGTCTGTGAAAGCTGCCAGGGGATGCTGTGGTGTGGCTGCATTAGGAACCTCTGGGCTGAACATCCCAGGGGGCAAAACAGCTGGTGAGGGGTCAGGGTCCCCTCCCCTCCAGCGTCCCTCTGAGACGCCCAGAGTAAACAGGAAGTGAGCTGTTCAGTGCAGCCTGGGATGGGAGTCCAGGACCTCCAGCTGGATTTACAATGAGCGCCTCCCACCCGTAGAAGTAGAGTTTCCTTTTATGTGCATTTCAAACCCGATTTTATCAACACAAAGTGTATTCACCCTCGGGGTCCCTCAGGCTGAGGGTGGATGGGGTGCTGAGCAGCCAGGAGGCAGTTCCCAGCCTGAGATTTCCTCCCCCCGCCCGCCCCCCGGGACTTTCCAAGATCCCACTCCAGGCCAGTGGACCGGTCTAGGATAGCGAGGTCACCCCAAACTGCCATCAGCCATCAGGGAAACACAGTGTCAAGCACCCCAAAAGCCCTGGAGAAAGAGAGGTGGGGAGACTTGGTGGAGAGAAAGACTAAAAGGAAAGGGGGGTGAGGAAGGAAAAAAAGCAAAGCGAGAGACTTTGAGACTAAAGAATAAGCAAGGCATTGAGGAGAACTCTAGCAGCAGATGGAGGCCGAGGAGGGAGGTCAGGGGGAGGGAGAGGAGGCCAGATGGAGGGAGACCGCAGGCGTGAACCGCGGTGGAGGGCTGTGACCCACCTGCTTGGAAGATGACCTGGGTACACCAGTCATGAGCTCGTAGGACACACACCCAAAACCCCAGCAATGAAGGGGGCTGCTGCTCGACGACCCCAAGGGACCTCACAGAGGCCCTGAGGGCAATCAGGTGACCACGGTCACTGCCATGCCTTTACTTCCCCGTTTGCTTCCTGACCAGCCGGTGACAACTGGAGGGCGGTGAGTAGGTGTGCTATTTAAAATGTCCCCTCAACGCAGGTCACTGACTTTTTCCCGTTTTCTCTTTCAAAATGAAAAATGTCACAGGGTTACTCATGTCACTTCCCGTTATGTTTCTTACTTTCATTGCTTTAGAATTGTCACTCTCGAATCCTTCTCTCAGATTTCATGTGTAAGGTGAAAGCGCTGTGAGGTCTCGCCACGGAAGCTTCACGGCAGCACTGGGCACGTATCCTGCCTGCCTGCCTGCCCTGCTCCAGCAGGTCCCCCCTCCCGCATCCAACATTCAGGCAAACTGCTACCGGGCTGGGCACCCATTGGCTCCTCCACTGAGGCCAGAATTCTATTATCTCCACAGGTGGCAGTGTTGTGTGGGCAACCTCTGAAATGCTTCAGATATTTATAAATCTAAGTTTACATTTGAGTTTGATTTAATTCTTATTTAAATTTTTACTTATTGATTTGAGAGAGTGAGAGAAACATCGACGTGTTCACTTATTTATGCCTTCATTGGTTGCTTCTTATATGTGCCCTGACCGGGGATCAAACCCACAACCTTGGTGTATCGAGGACGGCGCTCTAACCAACTGAGCTACCCGGCCAGGGCCAGTGTTTAATTTTTAATTGCTAGAAATGCAAAATTGAGATAAATGTTTGGAAAACTCAAAAATTATATTTCAATGGTTATTAGCAATTATATCTCAATGGTCTGGTAAATTGGGAACTTACGTGAATTGCTCTTCTGTAACTTCGTGTTTGAGGAACTGGTTCTAGCACACTGGCCCTGCAGTGAACTAGTCACATGGGAAGTGGTTTTCTGAGAGCCAGCTTCCCTCCAGGAGCTGGAGAACGCCCACGGGGGCCAATGAGAGGGCCCAGAGGTGCAGTGCAGCCTGGCCCCTGCTGTGACCTCTGACCCACGGCCAGGACAGGCCATGTGTGGCACTGGCCCGGTGTCACCCTGAAGGCCAGCCTGGCCCCTGAACTGATCAAACATATGTTTATGGCCCCTGCACTCATGCTGCCCTCAGGATCTTAGAAATCTCCCCACAAGGTCTGTAAAATGCTGCATCTGATCATGAAAATGAAACATGCATTTCCTCTGCGTGCCTCTCAGTATACAGACTGCCCCGCCTTTGCCTCGCTAAGCTCTCCCCCTCCACTCCAGCATCTTCAGGGAACTGAAGTCTCCAGAAGGTCCCAGCCCCCTCCTAGGGCTTCCAGGAGCCAAATGAAAGGTGTAATGATCATGAGCAAGTTGCAGATGAGCCCTCCA